TTCGGTCTAGCCACGTATACTGTCCACTGAAGGCTGTGAGTTCAGAGTTTCGGGGCAGTGAATTTTCTCAAGGTGTAAAAACCTGGCTCTCAACATTGGAGACTGTGAATCTCCTGTGGCTCGGATGACCACGTAAAATGGCGGTCCCGTCTCCAGAAATTCTAGCCAATGGGGACGTAAAAGAACCACGGAGGGCGCAAAGGAACTCTGGCTGTGACCACCCTCAGTGCCATTCGGCTAAAAGGCTAACTACCTGGCTTAACACCTCACCAAGCTAGGTCACACCTCATGGCTAGCTATAGCCCTGGACGTTAATTCCTTACGGAATGTCCCTGCGTTATAATCCACGTAACCGTGGGCTACGCAGTAATTTAAAACTATCCAGATCCATATAGTACAGACCCCAATCATTATTTATAACGCAGTGGCTACGCGTTCGGAACCGATCACCTAGCCTCCAGGCTACGCATCCGGACATCCACTCACACAGTGATCGCGTGACTCGCGTACACGCATGAATGCGCAACGGGACGCTCTGCTGATTGCCGAAAATATACAATATATACCCGGGGGCCTGGTCGAATTACTGGCAGCAAGAACAAGTCCGCACCTGCAGCTACAACACACACGCATCTATTGACTATATATATAACAACATTATAATAACTACTATAACAACTATAGCTACTATAACAACTATAACTACTATAACAACTATATATAACGTTGTTATATAATATATATATAGTCAATAGATGCGTGTGTGCTGTAGTTGCAGGTGCAGACTTGTTCTTGCTGCCAGTGGGTCGAATGGGAATTCTTGCCGAGGTGGCCCCTCAATTGTCAGTAGCAGCAGCGCCTCCAAAGCTGACTCACTCATCCTGTTCCTCATGTAGCCATTCCCATTAAAATTCCTATTCCCATATTTTTTTTTTAATCGGGGCGTAAATAATTTAAACGTGGCGCAACGATTGAAACGGGGGGGGGGGAGTTTTCCCAAACGGGGCGGGCGCGCCCGCTTTGCGCAACGTAGGGAGAAGCCTGGGTATTTATTGGTGAGAGCAGAGAGGTAATTCAAAAGGTAAGAAAGAGGTAAAACTAAAAGAGGTACTAAGACCAAGTCTAAGAGTAAAGTAATTTGTAAATAGGTAAGAGTAAAGTAAAGACTAAGAGGTAAGATTAAAGAGTAAGAAGGTAAGAGTAAAGAGGTAAAAGAGTGAAAGAGGTAAAGAAAGAAACAGAGCTTGCAAAGGAGACAAGGCATGCCTTCCATTCCCAGGGGGTCACTCAGGATATTAGTATTATTACTTGGTACGCATGCTCGTCAGAGAAAACGTCGAAAAATGGTCGGATTTTGACCCTGTAGCATCTTCGACGTCTTTAGAAAAAGGGGTACCTTTCCAGCTTAACCTTCGACGTTTAGGGTCATCATTTCAACCAGTCTTCGACGTTTAGGGTCACTTTTTCGCCCAATTTTCCGCCCAGTTTTCGTCATTCGATTCGTCCATTTATTACCGTGTTTACATTCCCAAAAGGATTCTCCCCAGATTTTCTAATCTCAACGTCAGACTCTGATGGGCGTTATATGTGCCTCGGCCACTTACAAGTCTGGGCACGAGACTACGGGTTTACACAAATTTCTCGCTAGTGTCTTACGCCATTTAGGGGTAAGATTTACATTATCTTACTCCAATAAGGGCTGGAATTTGCTACCGCTGAATACGTCATTTAGGGCCCAATTTTGAGATGCTTTGACGAGCATGCGTACCAAGTAATATCCTGAGTGACCCCCCCAGCCTCCATTACGTCAATTTACGGTCAAATACTGAGTTCAAACCTCGACCAAGGCAGTTTAATTTTCTTAAGGTGTAAAAACCACTGGCTCTCAACACCACGGCACAGGCACTTGGGCCGTTACAATAATAAAATTATGGCTAATTAATACGAATTGTATTTACTACCAAAATGTTAATTGTGGTTATCTACTTAGTAATAATTCCCCGTAAATATAATTTAAATGCTTCTCTGCAACACACAATTTGACAGATCTTTCAAAACTCTGTAACCACACTACTGGTTGTCCACAGGACAAGCACCTGGAAGATGTTGGTTGTTCTGCATGATTTTTGGTTGTCCGGGACAACAGGATCTGATCACCACTATGTCCAACGCTGATTGTAATAGTGATAATCCGAGCAAGTAAACATTTGGCTAGACACAAATACCAATAGGTAGGCGGTAGCTTGTGTATTTTTGCCGTTATGGTGTGAAATGAATTGAGAATTGTGCTAATTTGGGTCCCATGCATTACCGTCTGCTTATCTTTCGACGTGTTTGTGCACTGTGGCTGTGTGCAGTGAGACTGTGCTACAGAGAAGCATTTGAACAGCATTTACTGGGAATTATTAGTTGATAGAGAATAAATAAACATTAAGAGTTTGGTCGTAAATACAATTTGCCTTTATTCTTTATTTACAATCATTTTCTTATTGAAACAGCCCAAGTGCACATGCTCAACACTGGGAACTGTGAATCCCCTATGAGTGGATGGATTCGATGGCCATGTAAAATGGCAGGTCCATCTCCAGTATTCGAAACATAAAGCACGGACATCAAGAAACTAGCTAATACACTAAATAGGACATAAAACACTCTGACAATGACCTCCCTCAGTTTCTGTAACTAGGGTGCAATGGTGTGGTGCTCTAAGACTAACTTTTAGTGATTGAGACGTCAACTTTATATGCAGTTAGTTAGATATAATCAGGAGTCTATCAATATTGGCCGCAATCTACAATTGCACCGTATAGAAGTAAACCATGTATTCTGCTTAAAACTTGTAAGATCTGTATTAGCACCATACTTTATAAAGGTCTCAGACTCTCAGTAAGAATGGCTTCATAGCAACTAATAAAACATTCTATTTTAGTGTGTTTTATATGATAACATCACATATATATATTATATATACAGGGTTCTCCAAGAGCACTTATACTATAGCCTGGCGGCCCGCCAGGCTATCGTCAAGCCCCGCCATCCTAAAATGCACCCGCCACTCTAAATATCATAGTCGCCATGCTAAATATCATAGCCCCTGGACCCCCTTAGCATGCAAACCGCCTTCGGCGATTTGCAACTAGGACCATAAAGGCATCACCCGCCATGCTATAACGAAAAAGCTTGGAGAACCCTGATATATATATATATATATATATATATATATATATATATATATGCAGGGTTTCCTATACATATGAGGCACAGTGACGCACCGCCGTTGTTAAATTTAACATCGCCGTTGTGAAAATGTTCCTGTATTTACTGATAAGTATATCCTGTATCTATATACCTATTTGTATATCAATACATCCTGTATTTGAATCCATCATGTGCAGTTTTTTTCCCCAAACTGGCCATTACCTCCTTTGTCTAATTTTCCCTCAGAAGAAACCCTGATATATACATCTTTATATATACAGGGGTAGAAAACTTCTGAACAAGGGATTCAAGGGGGGAACAAGGGGGGGGACAAGGCCCTCAAAAAGAGGGAGTTCGCGGCAAAATGAGAGAATCCGCAGTCTGAAGTTCAAAACTAAAGATATTAAAAATAACGCATGTACTTATTTTGAAGATTCATGCGGTTGCACGTCTGCCAAATTTTCTTTGGACATTTGCTGAAAAAATACGGTAATTTTGCGTGGGAATAATAAGGAGGCTGTGCTCTGGAACGAACTAGTTAGTATAGCAGAATTTTCAGGGAGTCACAAGGACTCCTGCATATATGTCAAATCATGGTGTCCGACAGTAAATCGGGGAGTATTTGACTCCGGACTCGCGTTAATTTCGCACCCTGTATATATATATATACAGTGCAAGGATCCATTCTATGTGTGAGTGTTCCCTCAGTTTGGACCACAACATGTTACCACAACAGCAACTGGAAATACTATGATGCAGTCAAACCTCGGTTATCCGAACATCAGTTATCCGAATTTCGGATTTTCCGAACAAGATCTCAAGGTCCCGTGAATATTTAATAATTGTTTTACGATCAGATCAGTTATCCGAACAATCCGTTATCCAAACAAAATACTCCCCGCTCGTCTCGTTCGGATAATCGAGGTTTAACTGTACATACTTTCAGATTCAGATATTGCCTTGCAATCTATTGTATAACATAGTGGCGCCATCTGGTGTTAAATACAGTAGTACTTCCTAACAAAGTGTGGCACATAAATCAATAGAAAATCTCTTGTTGGATCTTGTATCGGTTGGCAGATTGATTGATAAGCTCACTAAGAACATAAAGTCTAAAACTGAAGTTGAGTAATATCAATATAATCGCTTCTGAAAATTGCATTTTTAGACTACAATTTTCCAGCCGTTTCTGTTCCAGATTTTACATTCATTAAGGGTGTATTGCAGGGTTTTCTAAAATGAAAGGCTGAGCAGTTCTATTTAGAAAAGCATTCTCTGTGCATGTGCTGCAGTTACTTTTTCAATTCCGGTGTTCTCATATTTGCAGGCCTATGCCAAGTTTTCTGGTGCACCGCTGAAGTTACTGAAGACTAACAATCCTGTTAGGACACCTTCAGGTATTATATAAGTAGAAATGCTTTTATATTATAGGTACACCACCGATTTTCCGGAACTTTTGGTTCCAAGGCCTTTCCAGATCATCCGTTTTTCTGGACCAAAAGAGGTCACATAATAATAATTCAACAATACACATCTGAGCAACTAAATACCTCCCATCATGTCTCCCATCATCTCTCAAGCACCATGCACTGCTAGAAATGTTAACAAATATTAAATGTAAATTAATGTAAACCACCACTGACACTTGCACCTGCCTTAGACGCCATAGCTAGGGTAAAATTTGAGCAAAACAAGGTGGTGGCCACCCGGTGAGTTTTATCTGGACTAAAAGAGGTTCTGGACCATCAGTGTCCGGAAAATCGGTGGTGTGCCTGTATAAGGTTAAGAGGTTATGTTTCCATGACTCTTAAATGGAGCTTGGTAGAGCAACTTTTACACAAAGCATGCATATATGTTCTTTAAATGCGAAATGGTGTCATTTGGCTACAGCTTCTGATAGTGTATTCCAATATTATATAATACGTTTCCTCTGGGACATACTCGGTCATTAAAATGATGTTGCCTGTTAGCTTATTTATTTGTTGCTTTATCATATGTAGGACATTTGCCAGTTTTGAGACACGAAGGCAAAAAGATTACTAAGGCAAAGGAGATTGTCAACTACCTGAGGCAGCAGGTGTGTGTAATATATAATAATACGTTAAAGTGATTACGTCACCGCAAATAGTAAAAAATAAAAAAAATATTTCCACTTTTTCACAAAATATAAGTAATTCTGTTTACATTTTATGGTTAAATTGCTGCATTATACTTCCTATTTTACTATATTGTTCGATGTGAACATACACCCGTGACCCATACATCGCCCATAGCAAGCAATTAATGTTAGACAACATTAATTCAAATCGTCCAGGTTTTTTGGATTTTTAACTAGTTGAGAAACAATCTTATCAGGTAAGAATTTGACGATTTGTTTAGTCCCGTTAGTTCTTACTTTTAATGTAAAAAAATGGGAATTTTTTTTTACAGATTTTACCATAGAAAATTCGTGACGTAATCCCTTTAAGATTCAAGATTATCTTAGATTTTCAAGAAAGTATTTTGACTTTGTTGCCACACAGGCAGAGAGAAGTCCTGCCACACAAAGCTAAAGCTGTTTGTTGCGTGTTTGTAGAATTATGGAGCAGACTTTGAACTGAGCTCCCTAGAAAGTAGTGAAGTTTTGGCATACATATCATTATTGGAACACAAGCTTGCTCCTGCGTTGGTGAGTCATCATCATAATTCTTTATATCTATAGCAGTCTGCAAAATGCTCACGGTAAATGGCCGTTTTTCACATCAAGTTATTGAAATGTATGTCTATATCGTAAAATCCTTGGTGAATTCCCTACAAACCGTTCTAAATTTTATTAATGGTTTTCTTTTATTTGACTTACAGTGGACTCGTCTCTCATATAATTTTGTCTATTGTGTTTATCTTTTTTATCAGACTGATTTTGAATGAATATTTACGACAAGACCTTGTTGGGCAGGAACCCAAAGACACATATATTAGGCTCTGATTTCTTTTCACATTATGTGGTTTCTCTACCAGGTCTATATGCAGTGGGTAGACGAGCGAAATTACACAGAAGTCATTCACCCATGGTTTCGTCAGAATTCCCCGTTCCCGTTTAATTTTTACGTGCCTACAATGAGGCACAGGCGATCCCAAGCAAGAGTGGCTCACACTGTTGGGGAACACATTACTGAGAGCAAGCAACTAGAGGATAAGGTCAGTGCTTACTATCAAGAGTTACTATTTAATCGTGCAAGCAGCTGTACACCACTAAATAATGTGGTTTTAAAGTAGGGTTATGGTGTCCTTATCTATTTAGAGGAATTTTACTTATAGCAATTCATATAAGAGAAACATGTAGTTTTAACATATTGCTTTAAATATGATATTTTGTATGTAACTTTAATGAAAATAAAAGCTGTGCGTATATGTGTGCATGCATGTATGATACAGTCAGTGTGTGTATGTGCAAAGGTGTTGCTGAAGCATCTATAATCAGCTATTTATAGAGAGAGAGAAAACGTAAACTTGCGTGTGTTACAGGTTTGCAGAGATGCACAACAGTGTCTTAACCTTTTAACAACCAGATTAGGAGATGAGGAATTCTTCAATGGTGACATGTAAGCTATCACATGGTTTCCATTGCAAACATGATAATAAATAATAAGGTAGTATTGTTGCACACCTCACTTTACTTAAGTTATTTTACCCTACTTTTATATATTCCATTATACAAGTGTGTGCGCTTTACTGGATTTATTGTACTCATCTGCGCACACCGTGCTTTTCTACAGACTTTTGTGTATATATATGAACTGTCATACTCCATCCTTTGTATTTGCTCACTTTCTTGAAGTCACCTCTACTGATCTGTGGATTGTTGTTCGTTTCTAGGCCGGCCATGTTGGATGCTATAGTTTTCGGCTATCTCGCACCTCTACTAAAGATTCCCTTGCCAAACAACCGACTGCAGAATCACCTGAGAGGTTGTGAGTCGCTGTGCAACTTTGTCAAGCGAGTGCTGTTGCGCTATTTCCCCCAATCTCCAGAAGGTGAGTGAGCGTGGTTTTATTCCCTGCAGTACCATCTTTGCAATCCGCCAGACAGTTTAGGACATGGAAAGGTTATGCGATGCTAATTTCTACAGTTTGACGAACATCTGTGTATGAAATACTGTATACGGCATATTTTTTGCGTACAGATATTTTTGCGGATTCAGACTTGATGGACAATTTCTTGAGTGGTTTATTTCGCAGTTGGTGAATTATAAATTATTCGGTATTATTCGGTATGAATTATTCGCGTGTTGTTATTTTCGCGGTCGGGGACACGTTTGCGAAATTTGCGAAAATTAAACCACCGCGAAATATACAGCGTATACAGTAGATCATCATATATCAGGAGTAGATAATAGGAAAGGAGTGTGACATCAATAAACACGGGAAATTCGTCATTTACTAGCCTTAAAATACCTACGATTTACTACGCGTAACGCAACCAATTAACTTGAGCTCAAATCGTACACAGTACATCCGCCTAGCATCGTGCGAAATCGTTTCCTCGTATACACCCGCAATCCGGAGATACAGACTAAAACGTACGACACGATTTTCAATTCTGTTGCCAGCAAAATCCATGCGTTGAGAGAGCTATTTGAAACAAAAGGCAGCTACTAACGCGCTATTGCTAACTCGGCAGGCAATGTGGCTTGCTGGGAGATTAGGCATCAACGCAACACTCGGCGAGATAACCTTTGACCCGGTACACAGCTACATACCGGCATGCCGGCAATACAGCTGCATGACATGCCCCCATACCACGCACGCACGCCAATCCGCTATCAGCAGCAGATCGGATTCAAATCTCAATTGGTTGCGTTATGCGTAGTAAATCGTAGGTATTTTAAGGCTAGTAAATGACGAATTTCCCTTGTTTATTGATGTCACACTCCTTCCCTATTATCTATTCCTGTCATATATGTAACTGGGAGTTATGGTAACACGTTGCCTTTATATATAGCAAAATGCTCTTTTTCACACATGTTTAAAAACGTTTTTCTTGAATTGTATTCTAATAAATCCATTGGTGCAGAGATGCCAACACATATTTGAAGCAATCTGTAGTTTCTGACCATCAAATTAGTATAGTGCGAAGGTCACGTAGTGACCCGAGTTTGCTAGGGGGGTTCGGCATAAATTTCTTGATACTGAGCTGCAATTTCCTGCATTCTGGGGGTCAAAAATGACAATAAATTGACAAAAAATGACAATAATTAAAAAAAAAAATTTTTTTTATCACAGTGAAATTCGTAGTTTGATACAAACTGGTCGTAGTGGTGCAAAAGGAATAGAAAATACGGATAAATCATAGTAGTTGGCATCTCTGTTGGTGTGATGTAAATTCAAATATTTGTGTCAGGTAATTGCTAGTTCTAATTCCAGAACTAATCCAAGGCAGAACTCAGGTGGCTTAGGTAATCAAATCAACGTAGAACCATTAGTTACGATGAGTGACCAATATTGATTACTAGCCTCAGCTGGTACTAGCGCTCATAGGGTCTATGTCCCCCAGGGGACTGCCGGAACGTACCCTGGGTACGGTCCGGTATACCGGAACGTACCCTGGTAACTATTTGATAGGGTTAGGGTTAGGGAGTAGGCGTAGGCGACTCCCTAGACTCGTTAGTGGAGTAGGCGAGGTACAATCCGGCATATTAGATAGTACCAGGGTACGTTCCGGCAGTACCCTGGGGGACATAGACCTTCTCAGCGGTACTAGCATTAACTGGTACTAGCATCAGCTGGTACTTTAGCAACAGGTTAACTTGCATTAACATGTACATTACGCATTAAATTATTGTCGTCCCCATAGACAGCTGCATAACAGTTTCCTTACACTGTATTTGTGCTAAATTGTTTCTACCCATGTGTGGTAGCTGGCTTACGTAATGCCAAAAATTGTTACGGTGGCGGTTTTAATAGAAAATATTTATTCCAGTGAAGGTCCATAGGGGAACTAAACTCAGTGCTAACGTTCACTTGTATTCATGACACGCGTCGGCAAAATCCTTAGGTTTGGGATAATGTTTTTCCAAACGTGTCGTTTTCATTTTTTTTTGTAAAATCCGGAATAACATCGGTATGTGCTCCGCATTTAGATTTTACGTGTGCCGTGTTCATATGCGTTGGTTACTAATAAGATACTGGCATCACAACCGACTGCCAGTACCGGATTAGCTACTCTGTGCATTGCTTACTGGGTGCTGCTGGCAGCAGATGGCCCAGTGCATTGTTTACAGGGTACCATGGACACCAGGTGGCTCTGTGTATTGTCTTTATGGCATCACATACACCAGATGGCACTGTATATTGTTTAGTGGCTACGACCCACACCAAGTGGCTGTGTAGATTGTTTACAGGCAACGACCCACACCAAGTGGCTGTGTAGATTGTTTACAGGCAACGACCCACAACAAGTGGCTGTGTAGATTGCTTACAGGCTCCGGCTGTCACCAGGTGGCTCTGTTGATTGCTTACAGGCCAGGGATGCCACCAGGTGGCTCTGTAGATTGCTTATAGGCTACGGCTGCCACCAGGTGGCTCTCTAAATTGTTTACAAGCTGCAGCAGACACCAGGTGGCATTGTAGATTGAGTACAAGCTGAGGCGACCTGGAAAATGTTCAATTAGTGGACACGTTCTATTCTGGTCCGTTCATCATATAATGCTGCTGAGTGCCTGGAGCATAAGTTTAGCACCCGACTTGCAGGTATCATAAGTGCAATTAATTAGCAACACCTGCATTCTCATCCATGATTACAATTAAGCAGGAGGCGATCTGGAAAGAGATGTCAGCGAGGTAGAAAAAAGGGGTGGGGAAGTATTTAAACAACGTGGCATAAATTAAGAGGCAGAATCTAGGTAATTACGTGTTGTGAGTAACAGCAGCTCATCGTTATGTCTTTGTGATGCATGGCGAGCATTGACGTATGCGTTTTAGTGGCTGGATGGCTACCTGCGTTCTACTCCATGTGGAAACGTGGGCATGTCGTGGCTCGTGAAACGTGAGCAATGTCGCCCCTGAGTTGAGACACAAGCAATCGTGCTCTTGAAGCATCAGTCTTGCCGCGAGTGTTCCAGTGCTATACGTAATGAAGTGGCCACGTGGCTGTGAATTCTATTCTATACGTAGATACGCGGCCACGTGGCTGTGAATTCTATTCTATACGTAGATACGCGGCCACGTGGCTGTGAATTCTATTCTATACGTAGATACGCGTACTGCTACTGCTACTGCTGCTACTGTTCTACTACGCTCAATCGCCGTCTGGACTGCGTTGCTCCTGCTGCGCTACCGTTGTTGCTGCTACTGCTGGCTACCTCCCTACTGCTGACGCTGCCTACGCTTGCCTGTTTGCTACTGTTGCTGCTGTAGTTGCTACATGCTGGGCGCTACTACCTGCTGCTGCTACGCTGCCGCCTGCTGCTGCCGGCCGGGCTGCTCTGAGTGATGAAAAATGACTGATGACCATCGAGGAGGAGGAGGAGAGGACGACGAGGGAGGAAGGAGAGGATGTTGGCTGCTTGCTTGCTACTGCTGCTCGCGTCTTGCGGCTGCTACTCGCTGCGCCGGCTGCTGCTCGCTGGTTGTTCTTCTGCTACTGCTCTGCCTGCCTAGTATGGCAAGCGACTGTGTCGACATACTACTGGCACTATTCCTAATCGTCATTACTGGGTTGCGGCTAAAACTGTACATTACGGAGTCTCACATCCGTACCCGAGGCCCGCTAAAAGCCATAACATGCACTCACTCCTCCGTTTGTATCCGCGGTGTTCGTGCACTTTTGTATTCCCCTCGTGGCTCTTCTCTCTCTCTCTCGTTCTCTCCTCGCTCTCTCTTCCTCTCTCTTCTCTCCTCTGCTCGCTCGCTCCGGCTCTCCACTCTCTCTTCTCCTCTCTCTCTCTCCTCCTCC